AAACTAGGCGAACAATAGTTAACTCGCTGTACATAATTATTTAATTGATAACAAGTTACCAAGAAATGGGATATGAAAATTGTGAGATTGATCAAAATTGAAAACAAAACAAAATAAATTGAAAAGAAAACAAGATTGATCAATAAAATAATTTAAAATCATATGTAATCCGCAACGAGATAATTTTCATAGATTTCGATTCCTGAAATGTGTAGGTGATGGGAGGAGTGAAGAAATTTTGGCAAGGCATTATGAAATCCGTACAATACAACACCCCAAACCAATTATCTGACTATTTTTGCAGGTAAGTGAACACCCCAAATTTTTAACTGTCGGCCTTGTTATTTATCAAAAGGGTGTACAAAAAACAATATTTTTGTTACATAACTTACTAACTTTCGCGAATAATCGTTAACTCGTTGTAAATATTTAATTGTTCACGAGTTACGATTATAATTTAGAATAAAATGTAAATACTTAAAAAAAACTGGAATATGAAAATTATGAGAAATCCATAGATTTGAAACGATAAGAACAAATTGAGCAATAAAAGAAAACAATTAAATCGACAACGAGATAATATTTATATATTTCAATTCTTGAAATTTGTAGCTGATGGAAAATTTTGAAAACACTTTGAAGAAATTGTGAAATCTGTTCAACCAAAAGTTCTCCCTATACCATCTATCTGATGTATTTTCAGGTATACGAACACCCAAAATTTTTAATTTTCGGCCTTAATATTTACAAAAATGGTAAAATCATCAATAATTTTTACGAATGACGTATGTATAACTAAATAAATTACACGAATAATCGAAAACTTATGTCATGTGAATATTTAATTGGGAACAAGTTACAATTTAGGATAATGTAAGAATTGGGATACGAAAATTGTGAGTAATCGGAAGATTTAAAACTGTACGAAAAAATTGAGCAATGAACGCATAAAAAATTGGAAAAAATTAAGTAAGAAATAAGGGAAAAAATCGGAAAAACAAACAATAATAAAATAAATAACTAGGATTAAATAATTTAAAAAATTCAAAAAAAAATTAGAAAAAAGTCAGATTCGCCAGTTACACCCACTTTTTTTAGCACGTGGCTCAAATAGTGGGAAATAAATGACCTCATATTTACGTGTGGATCACCCCAAAACAATATGAAATCATGATAATAATGAAGAAAACACCATTTCATATCAGTTTTCCCCGTAAAATGGAACATTTGAAATATGTTTCATGTTTTAGGAGTGGAAAACTCATTAAAATCTTAACCATCGAAAAGAAAATCGGAAAAATTGAGCAATAAATGAAAACAAAATCGGAAAAAAATTCGCAATAAAGCAAAAATATTGGACAAAATTGCAAAATAAACAAACAAAGAAAATTAGAAAAAATTGAGCAATAAATGAACACAAAATCGGAAAAAATTTCGCAATAAAGCAAAAATATTGGACTAAATTGCAAAAAAAAATAAAACAAAGAAAACTGGAAAAATTTGAGCAATAAATGAAAAAAATGGAAAAATTGAACAATTAACGGAAAAAAATTCGTCAATAACAGAAAAAATCGGATTAAACTATAAAAAAATCCGAAAAACTTGAGCAATTCAAGAAAATACTCAGATTCGCCGGTTACACCTACTTTTTGCGCAAATGGAGGTGCATAAATGACCTCAGATTAATGTGTGGATCTTCCAAAATCATAATAATAATGAAGAAAACACCATTTCATGTCAGTTTCCCCCGTAAAATGAAACATTGGAAATATGTTTAATGTTTTAGGAGTGGAAAACCCATTAAAATCTTAACCATCGATGTTATACGTACGAGCAAAGTATCAAAATAAATAGGAACGAGGCTGGATTTTGTGTTTCCCAAAGTTTCCCAAAGTGCATAAATTGGTCATTAAAATAATTCCGTAAATATCTTTCGGTGCGGTGCGGGCTGAGGAGTATTTACGTTGGACGGATTTATGGGATGACTTTCACTTCCAATTAAATTCACGTGGTTGCTGCTCTCCTTTAGGCGAGTTCACCTCGAGTAGAGATTTATTAGAAGGAATAAATGGTGGGGAACGAACGTAATAAAGGGGTGGTATGCATTCATATGCAAAATTAGACCATATGGAAATTATGTGAGATTTGTGACCTTTGACCTTGTCGTCACGGTCATGGACAGAGGGCGTGTATTTATTATTAAAAATCGCTGAAATATGTATTTAATATTTACGAAAAAAGTTACAATATTTACGAAACATGTACGAAAAAAACCTAATTCACGAAGTTTGTATTTTTGAATATAAATTCTCTTGAGTTTTTGTGCTCCTATTTGGTTGAGCAAACAACTTCGTTAAAATATTTACAAAATATTTACGTATTTTTGAAGAAAATATGTACAACATTTGCATATTTTTAAGACAATACCGGAAATATTGATATGTCTGAAAACCTAGAAATATGTATAAAAAAAATTCGAAATTTAACCTATGTCGGAGGTCAAAAATATCGATGGCGGTTAGTTCATGCTGAAATTTCTTTTAAAATCACATCGTGTATGAAAATTCAGGTCGAATTTGACCTTTGACCTCACTCCAAGGTCACCGTGAACTTGACCTCAAGGACCCTATTTTCGAACTCAATCGAGAACTTATAATTAGAAGCAGACACAACGGCTAAAGCCTTATTTCACTTTGTTTACGCGTTCTGGAGGTAACAGACGGACGGACGGACAAAACGATCCCATCCCATAAACCAGCTACACCCCACTTCCTTCCTAAAACGCAATAATAACTTTCTCCCTTGTAATACTTTGTAAATAATAATAAATTTGGAAATATTGCAAATTTTGGGTGTTATTATTTTATTGGATCAATATTTCTCCCCCAGTTCTGTATGGCTTTTACTAGAACGTATGTAAATATTATTCATATTCGGGAATAAATGAATTGATGGGTGGCCTGGCATGAATTCCCGTCGTGGAGATGATTTTAACTCGTGATTCCATTATTCTCAGGAAATTAAAACCTTTTCATCGCCCATTTCATGTAACGACAAGGACGAAAACGACGACGACGATGGTGTCATTTTGTTCGAGGAGGACGAGCAGGAGGCAAGTTTTCATTGTATTATTGTGTCAAAGTTTACCCTTTCAGCAGGCTTTTTATCATCTTTTCACTTCGGGTGTAATGTGGGAGAACTTTTGGCAGGGAGAGAAAGTTGGAGGGACTGGTGCTGGGTTTGTGAGACGGGTTTCATTTTATGTATGTGCCCGTTGATGTAATGAGATGATGATATTGTGACGTGTGGAGAGTGAAATTTGCTAAAAATATGTATACAAATTACGCAACAAATATGTAAATGAGGGATATTAATCAATAATCGATACTTCAGAAATTTGAGGGGTAAAATTGGGTAAAAAATATGTACACAAACAAATTATGTACATACAAAAGTTCACACTGTAATCAAAATCTGTTAATTGTGGACTTAATATAATCAAAAGTTATGAATTTAGTTTGGGAAATTAAATTGACCAAAAAATCTGTAAAGTTTACCTCAATAATCGAACGAAAGCTCTTCAAATTACGCAACTAAAATATGGAATATCAACAATCAATTAATCAATTGGTGTAATGTGGGTGTGCACGGTGAGAAGTTTTGGCAGGGAGAGAAAGTTGGAGATGAGACTGGTGCGTTTTGTGAGACGGGTTCATTTTATGTAAAAGTTGAAGTATGTAATGAGATGAGATGATGATGATGATATTGTGACGTTTGGACAGATAAAAATATGTACTTATACAAGTTATGTACTAAATGTATGTTTTAGTATGTAATAAAAAATATGTATGCAATTCGATAATCAAAAAATCGATACAGTATGAAAACTATAATTGATAATTAGTTAATTTTAGGAGCAAAATTGGACCAAAAAATCTATAAAGCATACCTCAAAATCTTCAAATTATGTAACAAAAAAGGTGCAATTGAAGCGATCGATAATCAATTAAATTACTGTAATGCAATGTAGGAGAACTTTTGGCAGAGAGAAAGTTGGTGGTGAGAGAGATGAGATTGTCGACCGGGGCGTTTTTGAGACGGGTTCATTTTATGTAATGAATGAGATGATGATGTTTTGACGTGTGTGGAGTGAAATTTGCTAAAAAAAATACGTATATTTACTTTACAAATAACAAGTATATACAAATGATGGAATCTATAATCGATAATTTGTTAATTTAACTAAAGTGAAATTGGCTAAAATTGTGTAAAAAATATGTAACTCGATGATCAAAAAACCTATAAATTGCGTAAAAAAATATGTAAGTAGCTCGATACATAATCAAAAGTTTGTAAATATGCGTACCGAATATGTAACTCGATAATCGAAAACTCTACAAATTGTATAAGCTACATATACTTGATATTTAATCAATTCATAAAGCAAAATTAGCCAAAAAAATCTGTAAACTCTTCAAATTATGTAACAAATATATGTAATCGATAATCGATAATCAATTAATTGCTCAAGCCTGAAGAAGAAGATCTTGATTGAAATGTACTTATTTCTTACTCGTGATTTGCTTGTATTCGTACAAACATACATAAATCGATTAACAAAGTTGTTCTGTACGCATTTATTTCGTCTTTGTGAGTGAGCAGTGGCCGCGGAATCGTGTCCCCACGGTTATTCGATGTTCGCATCATCTCCCATCTTATATAAACCCTGCTTTCCCCTATCCTACAAATTGTAGGCTACAATACTACTGTCCCCCGAAGTCCCCACGGCTTCCGCGGCCACTGAAATAGTGAGGCATCCCTAAATAAACATACATTCGCACACGCGGGGGGACATTGTCCCCCAAAAAATTCTGCAAAATCGTATCTTTCCCATGTTAAGAAGTCCCTTCTCTCCTCCTATCCAACAATGTTACTGTCCCCCGATGTCCCCACACCTTCCGCGGCCACTGTCCATTCGCGTGTCTTATTTTTATACACATCAATCCACGACAGGCACGCACCCAGTAAAAGTTTCGCTTGCTTAATTTGTGTTTGGTCACGTCTTTTAATTGCGAATATATTGGGGTATTACATTTTCTTTGGAAATTTTCTCATTATTTCTTCGTTTTCTCGTCTCATCCATGACAACGAGGCAGGAAAACTACCGGGCGACGACGAGAGAGCGAGAGACGAACAATAAAATTTGAAGAAATCGACCAAACATTGAGGAAGAAAATATTTGCCAGAAGGAAGAAGAACAATTCAATTTTGTCAGGTTTTCTCTCCCCCCTCCGATAACATTCACAGCTTATCTTATTTGTCTCTCAAAACACTACTTCAACTCTAATAACAAGGTAAGATAAGGTAAAAGATAAGATCGTGACGATGAGGACGATTCGTTGACCCCTTGAATTTTGGCAGGTTTCCTCTCCGACGAGACGACTCAGTCAACAGTACTTTTGCAGTTTATTACTATTTGTCTCTAAATAAAACTACTTCAAGGTAAAATAACCTTAAGATAAGGTCGTGACGATCAGTGGCCGCAGAAGTCGTGGGGACAGTAACATTGCACGATAGGGGGAGGGAGGGGTTTGTATAAGATGGGGAGATGATGAGGACATCGAACAACCGTGGGGACATTGTCCCTCCCATCTGTCGCTACCAAGGCTTCCGCGGCCACTGGCGATGATAAGGACGATAAGTTGATAACCTGTTTTTCTTTAATTTCCCTAGATGACGACCATGTGGGGAAAAATGTACGATATGCGGGCCCCTTACAACGTTCGTGGCGGCGAGATTTCCTGCCTCCGTGTCGTGAAAGGGTTCAGTGTGGAGTCCTGGCAGAAAGACACCATCACGGATTGTCCCCCTCGAGCAGGGTCAACTCGGGTCAGGTGTCCGCAGCCAACCTTGTTTCGCCGGGTGAGTAAATTACTTAATTGAGATCTCCCAGCGTATGCTCTCCGATTTTGAGCACCAAATTAGTATCGTTTGATGACAAATTTAATTAGGATGAAATTTGCGAAAGACACAATCTCCCAATGGGCATATTTGGCAGAGATATTTGCATCCCAAGAGGAGAAAACGCGCAGTAAATTTGGAAAATGTAAAAATTTGTCGACTTTAAGGCGCGTTTTCCCCTCTTGGGATGCAAATATCTCGGCCAAACGTGCCCATTGGGAGATCGTGTCTTTTGCAAATTTCATCCTAATTAAATTTTCGATCGATTGGCACTAATTTGCTCAAAATCGGAGACCTCCATTCTCACATATCTGTCTTTTTTAACGTGTTTGACTCATCTCTCTCAATTTTTTATTTTCAGTGTTACGACCGTGGCGAATTTCCCATCATGATTGATCACAACTCTTCAGGAAAATCGATCCGGTGGACCGTGCAGCCCGACATGTTGGACTACCACCACTATCTGCCCCTCTTTTTTGAAGGACTCCGCGAAATCGAGCATCCCTACGCCTTCTTCGCCCGACAAGGAATCAACGACATGTTCATGTTGGGACAAGGATGTGACAAAGTACTGCCCGTCGTGCCCCACTTGATTCGACCGATTCGGGGTGAGTGGCGATTTTAATTTAAATTTAAAGAGAGGAAAAACTGGGTAGATTTGTAATTTCACTTCATTCTTTACAGAGGCGCTGAACACCCGGTGCCCCCAAATTTTGAAGGTCACCCTCCACGCCCTGCAGAAACTGATTGTCTGCGCGCCCAAAGTGGGGGAAGCCTTGGTCCCCTACTACCGCCAGTTGTTACCAGTCCTCAACATTTTCAAGAACAAGAACGGTGAGGAAAAATTTTGGTTTTGCTTATTATTGTGATCGATTTGTTATTAATTAATTAACCGATTGATTAACTAATTGATTGATATAATTAATTGATTGATTGGTTATTGGTAATTGATCGTGAGGACAATTAGACGGAGAAAGAGAGAGACAAAAAATTAGAGCGTGATATTTGTAGTATTTGGATAGAATAATGAGTAGTTTGATTGATTAATTAATTATTGATTGATTGACTGATTAATTGTTAATAATTGATCGTGAGCACAAGGAGGCAGAGATAGAAAAACTATAGATTTCTTGATTATTATTTAGATCGACTTTTTAATGAATTGTTTGATTGACTAATTTATTAATTGACCAATTATTATCGATTAATTGAATTAATTATTGATTGATTAGTTATCAATAATTGATCGTGATAACAAGGAGGCAGAGATGGAAGAAAAATTAGATTTTGATTATTATTTAGATCGATTTGCTAATCAATTGCTTGACCAATTATTATAATTAATCGATTAATTAATTCTTCATTTTTTCAGTCAACTTGGGCGACGAGATCGAGTACGGACAATACAAGCGAGAAAACATTGGTGACCTTATCCAAGAAACTTTGGAGCTGATGGAAACTTACGGCGGGGAGGATGCCTTCATCAACATCAAATACATGATCCCCACCTACGAGTCGGTCATCCTGAACTGAAGAAATCATTTACATAATCCAATCCACTCCAGTGCCAATCAATTAATAATTCCTTGTGAAATTAAATCAATCAATTTTTAGTCTTATTTAATACTGGGATTTGTAAAATATTGTACTTTTTCTAAACCACGAATGAGGAACGAACGAAATGAAATTGTCATGAATGAAAATGAAAATGAAAATGAAAAAAAAATGTCTGAAAATAAAGCTTTTTTGTTACAAAAAAATTTATAGGGTGGAATTTATGAGGGGATTTATCAAATCAAATTTTTGTCCCTTTCTTTCTTTAGAAGAATTTGAATTGTTCGGTGGGATAAGATTGAGATTTTTATGGGTTATAAGGTTTGAGTTTTATTGCTAATAAGTGCTGGGACAAGGATGACGACACGGAGGACATGGACACGGACAGGACAAACGAGCTACCTGTACGCGTGGTCTGGTGGGTAAGGTTCCGTCGTGATTTCTTTTTCGCCACTATTTTTTGGACTATTTTTTGAAAAGAGAGAAGATATCACTACATATTTTTCTTCAAAGGGAATGATAAGCGCCATGTGATTCCTAATTTTTGGCTCGATTTTTTGATATAACTCGTTCCACAATCCCGGTGTAGCTTGAAAAAAGGTTCCATATTGTGCGTAAATTACCACTATTTTCCCAAAGAATAGAAGAAACTTATGTCTTTTTTGTACGCAGTTAAAGTTATTCCACGCACAGGAAATCAATTTACATTTTTCAAAATCTATAAATTTTTACTCCAACATTTTATTTTACTTTTTTTAGAAAATCAGTCCTTCACTTTTTGGTAAATCAGCAGTTCCATTTGGAATGGAAATTTTGCTTTAATTCTCATTTTTCCAAAGGGTAAAATTTCCCATTTTTCCCACAATTTTCCCAGAAACCCCCTACGAAACCCTGCCTGCGAAGGTGGATTTGGAATTGAATGCAATAGAATTTCCGAAATCTGGACAAGATTCGTTTTATTTTTGGGCTGGAGGACCAAACCACGGCCACGCCATACATAAATATGATTTGAGGAGAGAATGTCTTATTTTTGGAGAGGAAAGAAAAGCGAAAAAGTAATTTAGCCCTCGCCTCGTTCAACATCTGCATCTCGCCTTCGTCTCGCTTTTCGTGGAGAGAAAGTCCCATGTGCATTTTATTACCTTCTTCTCCTCCTGATTTTCTGAGGAAAGGAAAGCAGGGGAAAGTTGGCTCGGGTTGGATTTGGATGGATGGATGCCATGCTGGACTTTTGTGGGTTGGGTAGAGTATGAGAGAGGAATTTGAATATTTGGGTGGTTGTGTATGCATTTAGTGTTGTTGTGATATAATGGTCTGGAATTGGTGGAATGTCGACCTGGCGCTGGCCGCGGAAGGGTGGGAACAGAGGGATAAATTGTTCTGGACAATGCTCCCACGGTTGTTCGATGTCCGCATCATCTGCCATCTTATACAAACCCCTTCTTCCCTTATTCTACAATGTTAATGTCCCCACGGCATCCGTGGCCACTGATTACATGCACGAGTATAACATACTTTTATGCAGTGGCCGCGGAAGCGTGGGTGTGGACAGAGGGACAATGTCCCCACGGTTGTTCGATGTCCGCATAATCTGCCCATCTTATATAAACCCCTCCCTCCTCGTCCCCTATTCCGCAGTGTTAATGTCCCCACGGCTTCCGCGATTTAGAGCATGATGGAGGGACAAGTGGGTCTCTCTCGAAGGGGAAAATGAAGAACATGAATAATTTGAGAGAAAGCAGATTGTATACGAATTCCATCTTGTCCAGCGTCGTGTCATTACTCATTTGTCAGAATCCGTGTTTCGAGTCGGAGTAACCACTTGCCAGAAATAACGGGAAGAAAGTGGTTTCTTGCATCTAAAATTTTGACCTGGGAGAAATGTATGGCGCAAAAAACTACGCGATAGTTCATACCGCTCATGGCGCATTTTCTTGCTTTGCAGTGCGAGAAATGATCGTCTCGTTCGTATGTATAGAAACTGAATAATAAATGATTACTCGAAAAAAATGATAACGATTCTGGGTGTGTTTTATTTGCCATGGAATGAATGAAGTTTGGATGGAATGGAACGAGAATGGTATGGAATGAGAATGGAATGATTTCACTCGCAAATAAAACGGATTTTTGGAATGGTGTGAAAAGTTGCCATGATAAAACAATTTGCGTTTTATTTGACGGATTTTACAAAATAATTTGATTAAATAATCTAATTAAATTTGTGTTTTGTAGTAGTTAGCTACAGTTTTTTGCAAAAAGTAGTTGTAGTTGATTTAACGACTTTTTTAAAGCAGGTGAAAAAAGTAGTTAAACTTACAAATATTTTTTATTAACATAAATATTGATAAACTATGAAATAGATTTAGTTGGGTTACTTTCTCCCATGGTATAGTTGACCAACTACATTTTAACTACTTTTCATTGAAAAATGGTTAAAAGGTAGTTGAAAACTTTTCAACTACTTTTTAACCACATGTCATCTAATCTCAAATATGTTTTTAATGAAAAAATTTGGTTTTTCAAATCTTCTTACTTTCATGGTGTTCTAGTTGAAGCAGACTGCCTTAATTATTCTCAGAAAGTGATAAAATGCAAGACCAAATCCTGTAAAAATCTCAACTACCTGAACGTAATTATGTTTTTTAAAGGAATTGCAATGATCTATTGTGAACAATTTTCTTATTTCAATGATTTTAACAAGGGGTTAAGTAAAGCAGCTAAAAGTTTTTCTTTCATTCAACTTCAACTACACCCTAAAAGGTAGTTAAATGAAAGTAGTTAAAAAGTAGTTGAAAGTAGTTATGTAGTAGTTAGATTTTAGAATGTAGTTATAAATGTAGTAAACATTTAACTACATGAAACCGAAGTAGTTATAGTTGTAGTTCAACTACTTTTATGAGTAGTTAAATACCACTGAAATTAAATACTGTTTTAATGATTTTACTGAAGTCATTTTTATTTTTATTATTCTAATAACTTTTTTTCTACCAAAAATCCAGGAAAAAACTTTTGTAAGTACTTACTGAATATTTACAGTCTATCGTTATGATTTACAAACCATTTAAAATTTCTCGGGAGATCTTTACGCTGTCGCTAGATTTTGCAAAGAAATCGACATTAAAACAAAAGATGATTATCTTGAGTTGTTCGGGAGAGGGAGACTTGTCGCATTTTATTACAAGTATGCTCGATTAAGTAATTGATCAAAGCAATTGAGTATTCAATTACTGCTTGGGCAAGTTATTAAATACTTCAAATTTTAATTACTCATAGTTCTTCCAATACTTAATTACCTTGAAAAACGCCCGAGTAATTGAAATCAATTCTAATTACTTCAATGTCGGTAATTAAGGGAGTAATTAAGTACAACAGCCCTGCAAGATGTGGGTCATTGTTAAATTATCAGCATATCGGGCTGAATTTGCTACAGATTTAAAATATGTAAAATTTTTAAGCCAGTTTGTAGATGCGCCCAAAATCTGTAGAAAAATAAATAGAAAATCTTATAGTGGTAACTCCTATCTCAGCATTTTTGGAATGGAAATTATAAAATCAAATTTGGTAGAATTTCCTAACAGAATTTCAATTAGCTTTGATTTTTTGAATTAATTGGAAAACATTAATTTTTAAATTAAAATAAAGTTAATTCATTTTAATTGCATACAGAAATAGACGAAAAGCCGAAAAACTGCTATAAAAACCCTATCATTCCATGTTCACTCCAGCTCGCGAGTTGGAAGGAAAAAAAGTTCATTCCGAATGAACTTCGGTGAAAATCATTCCAAATCCTGATTTTTTCCATGACAAATAAAACGCAAAAATTTTCATTCCATTCGAAAATCAGGATTGGAATGATGAAAACGATGCAAATAAAACACACCCATTATTTGACACTTTATCATTCTATACATGTTGCGACAAATGAATTGTTTCCAACACAAATTTTCATTTTTGAAGAAATTAAATTTTAATTATGTACTGAAAGAATGGTGTGAGTGGACCGTTGCTAAGTTGGAAGCTTGAGATGACCCCCTAGGTCAAATCCGGGTCAAGTGATCTCACACCCTCCAGTGGGGTGTCAATCGATCGGTCTGGATCATACGATCACTTTGGTATATTATAGAATTTTGTGAGATAAGAATTGGCTGACAAACTTATATTTTTGAGATATTCTTCAAAATAAACGTTTTAATTTTCGAAATAGTACACTCGAGATTTTTAGCTTAAAAAATCAAGCTAAAAATTAGGATGATTTCGTTCTCAGGAATTAATTCCCTATGTCTGCCTGTTCAAAAGTTATTCAGGGTTAAACTAGTTGGTCCGGATAAGAGGACTTTCGGACCAACGATTTAAAAAATGAAATTTTTTTTCAAAATAATTCATTTGTCGCAACATCATTTGTCGTTTCTATGGGGCACCGCCCATAGAAACGATGTCAGTTAATCGTGGATTCTGGAGACAATTTGTAATTTCTGAGAGACACAAAATCTTGACCCTTCGCTTTTTTGACGAACTAAACCAGTGACAAATTTTGCCCGAAGATAAAATGCCGAACAATGGCGGTGGCTGTGGTGGGGATGATGGTTCCGGATCAGGGGGAGAAGATGGACCTGAATTTGGACCCGAACCGGATCCCAGACTTCATCAATTGCCTTGGAAGAACATTCCGTCAGAGGTGAGTGACTTGACCCTGGGTAAAAAATTGATCCAGAAGAACAATTTTTTATCCAGGCAGTAATTTTAATTATATTTTGAATTTGTGTTTATATCATCCTATTTGTACTTTGTACTTACTGACTACAAGTGATTAATAGTAACGCTAAATTGAGTCCAGGCAGTTTTTCGGGTGCAAGAAACCAGTTGCAAGAAATAAGGGAAAGAAAGTAGTTTCTTGCAGGGAAATATTTTGACCTGCAAGAAATGCGAGGCGCAAGAAACTACGTCGCGCCGCTGTAAATAGTTCATACGGCGCGTGGCTAGATGACGCTTATTTCTTGCACTTTCTCCCAGTTTCTTGCACCTCGCATTTTTTGCGTGGCTTGCTTTGTAGTGCAAAAAATATAGCAAACCCACAAAAAAAGCAGTACAAAAATATAACAAACCCACAAAAAAACAGTACACAAATATAGCAAACCCGTAAAAAAAAGCAGTGCAAAAAAATGGCAAACCCCCAGAAACCGTGCAAAAAAATATAGCAAACCTGCAAAAAAAAGCAGTGCAAAAATATAGCAAACCCGCAAAAAAGCAGTGCAAAAAATATAGCAAACCCGCAAGAAACTAAACCTTTCTTAAATTTCAGCTGGTCCTAAAAATCCTACAATACCTCCCACGCTCCGACTTGCTCTCATCCCGCTTGGTCTCGAAGGACTTCGTCCCCCGCCGGATTCGTGTCGCTGTCTGGTTCTTCGAGCACTCGAAACATCTCATGGTCGGACTTAACCTTCAAACCAAACGGACCGATTACGAGAGCGGGATTGAATTCGATATTGGCAAAAATCGACACGGCGAACTGGACAAGCTTGCCCCCGGATTTCTGCAACGCCACCAATTCGGATATGACACCAGCCTTGACGTAGTTCCGGATTCGTTGTTGGAGAAAATCAGGTTTTTGACTGTTGGTGGGTGGCAAAAAAAACGATTTTTTTTCATAACACGATGTCATCAAAATTAACACATTTTTAATCATTTCTCCCCCTCTGGGAACTTATTTTAAATTTCTGGACGACAAATTTGTCCTCAGTGAGTTGATTGATGGAATGGCGTTGAGTTTTTGAGCCAGTTTCGACGAGTTCCAATTTTTCTGAAGGCTTCTTAATCTTGAGATCTCCTCCTTCAAAAAGTGTCAAAATCTATAGTGTATATTTCTTTTTAAATTGGGAACGACCTGCTCTAACAAATTTGTCGTCCAGAATTTTAAAATAAGTTCCCAGAGCGGAGAAATGATTAAAAATGTGCTGAAATATTTTGCCTCTAGCCATCGGTCAGCCAAACCTCGTCTTGGGCGACACCTTCGACGACCTCGCCATTGTACAAGCCAAAGCCCACAATTTGTTCTCAATTTGCGGAATCAACACGGAATTTGGAAATTTCAATTGGATGTCGGACATCATTTCCAGGAACAAAGGGCTAAACAGGATTTGTCTCGTGAAGGCTGATCTTGCCGAGGAACCTGGCGACATTTATGACAACATGCATTACGTCGACTGTAATTGGGTGACGGGTATGTAGTATATCCAACAATGGAGGTCTCCCAGCGTATGCTGTCCAATATTTAGCAAACTAGTGTCAATCGATGACATACTTAATTAGCATGAAATTCGCGAAAGACACGATCTCCCAATGGGCACGTTTGGCAGAGATTTGCATCCGAAGAGGAGAAAATGCGCAGTAAAGTTAACAAATTTGAGTCTTTCCAAATTTACTGCGCGTTTTCTCCTCTTAGGATGCAAATATCTCGGCCAAACGTGCCCATTGGGAGATCGTGTCTTTCGCAAATTTCATGCTAATCAAATTTGCGATTGATTGACACGGGTTTGCTCAAAATCGGAGAGCATACGCTGGACTGGAAGACCATAATCTGAATTATTATTTCGGAGAGAAAATCATCACCAAGCTGGTAATGACTTGTTGCAGATTTTCAAAACCTCAGAGACCTAACCATTATGAATTACGGGCTCGAAAACCCAGCCAAACTTCCCGCAAATTTGAATCATCTTGTCCTCCTGAGTCCAGTCGCGTTGGAGAATGTCGTTTGGATGTCGGAGAACGAGCAAGAACTTCGCGTCAGTTTTATCGCCAAAATCAGCATATTTTTAATCATTTCTTGTTTCTGGGAATTTATTTTAAAATTCTGGACGACAAATTTGTAAAGCTGTAGTCGTTCCCAATTTTTTGAAAATATACACTCCAGATTTTGACACTTTTTGAAGGAGGAGATCTCAAGTTTAAGAAACCTTCAGAAAAATTGGAACTCGTCGAAACTGGCCCAAAAAACTCAACGCCATTCCATCAATCAACTCATTGACTACAAAGATGAGTACCGTACAAGGAGGTGATAATGTCAACTTTGACGGGCTAAAACTACCAGAAGCGAGCATTACGTTTCTTAGCTTTTTTGCCATAAAATCAGTCATATCCTCATCTGTACGTGTGCAAAAAAGCTAAGAAACGTAATGCTCGCTTCTGGTAGTTTCAGCCCGTCAAAGTGGTGTGGGTTGTGAAAATTTTGCAAAATATTTGGGAAAAATTATAAAAAGACCAAGGAGACTGTCGTCATGCGACCCCGTGGTCAACAAAACTCAGCTGTTTTCTTGAAAGTTAGTTTTTAGCCCGAGTCAAAAACCGCTTCAAAAACTCAACGCCATTTCATCAATCAACTTACTGACTGCAAAATTGTCGTTCAGAATTTTAAAATAAGTTCCCAGAGCCGAGAAATTTTTAAAACCGTGCTGATTTTTACGATTTTGTGGATTAGTCCTACATCAATTTTGAATTATCCATTTTCTCCAGAATTTTGGAATTGCTGTCCATGAAGAAGTCGCCGATGAGACTTTCCTCCGTCACATGACGCAAATTGGGAAGCCATGGAACGCGTTCGAGCTCCTCGGGATCAATGACCAGTTCGGTCTTCCGCTGGACTCTCACGTGACGAAAGGGGCCATTTTGACGCCAGAATTGGTCCGTCGCTTCATCCACCTTCCGCACGTGGAGAATCTTCTGTTTGATTTCGTCCTCATTTTGAGCCCTGACCATCCCGACGACCAAGACAAGAATGAGGAATTCCTGACTGAGCAAATCCACCGATTGAAGGACCGGTTCCATCATTTGAACACGGTTTGCAACAAGACGCCCGGAATTATGGAGGTAATTTATGAAATGGCAATGTTTCGACGCTAAATTTCTTGCACTGCAAAAGCACGAAGTGCAAGAAATTCGAGGTGCAAGAAACTGGGAGAAAGTGCAAGAAATAGGCGCCGTTTGTTTGTTTGTTTATTAATCCTTTATTCATGTTTCAACAAAGATCATTAGAAATTGGTAGTTTCTTCTATTTTGTTTAGTTTCTTGCGCCTTGCATTTTTTGCAGGTCAAAATACCTGCAAAAAAACACTTTGTTACCGTTATTTTTTGCAACAAGTCGTTCGTTTCTTGCCGATGTGCTAAATTTTTTGCAGTGTAAGGTGCAAGAAAGTGCAAGAAATAAGCGCCATCAAGCCATATGAAGTATAGCGTTGCAGGCTTGGGCAAGATACTTTGTTTTCAGATACAAGATACAAGATAAAGATACTTTTGCAAAAAAATCCAAGATACTAGATAAAGATACTTTATTCTCTGTTCTTTCCAAGATACTTAGATACTAAGTAAAAGATACTTTTAAGTATTTTTAAAGATACAAGATACAAGATAAGATAAAGTATCTTAAATATTCCACAAGATACAAGATACTTTTGATTTTTTTTTAGATTTAAAAAAGATAAAATTTCATATTTTTTGCCATTTAGGCATCGCCAGTAAAATGAAAGTCTTACTATTGAGTAGTTAGGCATTGAAAAACACCTTCCACTAGCAAAAATACCACGCATTAAATCATAAGAAAATCAAACTTTAGATGTCGCGGGTAGCATATTTTGCAAAAAGTATCTTGTATCTTAAAAAGTATCTTAGATACTTTCCTCTTGATGGAAAATATCAGATACAAGATACAAATACAAGATACTCATTGAGGATTTTCCAGATACAAGATACAAGATACTTTGAGCTGAGGCGGGCGGAAGATACAAGATACGAGTAGTATCTTGTATCTTGTATCTAGTATCTTGTATCTTAAAGTATCTATCTTGCCCAAGCCTGAGCGTTGGGCCCTAATTTTTTGCGTTTTTTGCTGGTTAAAATATTTCCCTGCAAAAAACACAAGTGGTTTCTTCCACCCGATAAACTGATAAATTTTACAACCTAACAAATCTATGTACATATTTTTTAGGCCCGATTTGTCGACATCATTGAGCCCCAGGAAGGATCGTTCGGCTATTCGATCACTATCTCGATCGATAGACAAACATTTAACGGATTACTGCCATGAAATCGCTCCTGTTTTTGAGTAAATATGTAATAATCAAATTATAATGCACGTAATGTAATGTAACAGCGAATTAATTCATTCATCAGATTTAATGAGAAATTAATAAAATGCATGTTGAATATTGTAAATTTTGTGCATAATTTGGTCAATTTTGAAACCTTTGTAGTTTCCTTGAACACAATTTCGTTCAAAAATAAGTTCATATTTCAATTTGAAGACTCATAATTTCTTCCACGGCACAACTTTCGCCAAATTTTGACCCTGAATTTGCACACTATTTCGATAAAAAAAACTATTTTCCTCATGGAGTGCCACGATTGCGGAAAAGTCCACGAAAATCCACACCTTCCACCAATCTTGGTATCAGCACCCCCACCACCACCAACATCCAGCCAACTTTCCGAGGTGACAGTGACCTTGGGCGGTCAACAATGTGGGTGCTGTCACAATCACGAAAATTATTCCTCCCCAACGCCATGTAACGATTGTGGTCGGATCCACGCCGCCCAAAACGTTCCGTCAGGATCAGGCCACGTCCAAGAAAAACCTGCAACACACATCCTCGAAAATGCGACATCACCCGAAAATCACGTGACATATATTCCTCAACCGGCGATATGGGGCGGTCACGTCCAAGAAAAAGCTGCGATGGGCACCCTCCAAAATTTCGAATCACCAGAATTCAATGCGCTGTACTCGCGAAGGCTCTACGTCACAGGAAACCATGCTGCGGAAGTGGCGACATCACCCGAAAACCACGTGACGAACGCGACCACCCAAACCGACGATGTCACCATTTTGCCCAAAAATCCCGCTGTTCCATTATTCTCGATGCAGAATGTGACATCAACTTGCTCACGAGCAGAACCTGTCGAGAAGATCGAGGATGACACTTTTTACAAGGATTGGACGGCTCGATACGTTGAATTTCTCAGGTGAATTTGCTTTAAATTTGTTTCGTGTAGGATAAAAAATTGATTGATTTTTTCTAATTTGCAGTGGTACTGGCTCAGCCCCAGGGAAAGTTGAGGAGCCGAGTGAAAACAATGATTTGCTCAAATTGCAAGTAAAACCGTACTTTCGTCGAGATGGGAAGGTTCGTAAATTCGATGGGATTTAATAATTGTCGAAATCAGAACCTTTTTTCCGCTCTGGGAACTTATATTAAAATTCTTAACGACTAATTTGTAGTCAGTGAGTTGATTGATGGAATGGCGGGGAGTTTTTTGAGCCAGTTTCGACGAGTTGCAATTTTTCTGAAGGTTTCTTAGACCTGTGATCTGTCCTCCTTCAAAAAGGATCAAAATCTGGAGTGTATATTTCTAAAAAATTGGTAAACTCCCTGCTCTACAAATTCGTCCTCTAGAATTTTAAAATAAGTTCCCAGAGACGAGAAATGATTAAAAATGCGTTGATTTTGGACTGTACGACTCGATGACTCGTCGCCAAAATCAGCACAGAAGCTGAAATCGGTTTAAAATGTGCCGATTTTAGTGACACTGGCTGATAAGTCGTCGAATCCTACGTTAGTTAATAATTAAGGAGTTAAATTAACAAATAATTATTTATTTGGTACAGGAGTACCATGAAGATTTGGCCTTCAACGCGTTCAACATGCAAGTCTTGGATAAAGAATCGCTCCTCCAGGCTCGCTATTTGGGTCACCGGGTCAAAACCGAGGTCGCCGTGGAGCTCGCCCTGGTTTCCGAACATGTCGACCACGTCGGCGTATCCGCCACGTTTAAGATTGGACTGCGAAACGGGGACCAATTCGCCAACGGTGGCGTGTTCACGGTGCGTCGTGTGATTGGAGATTTGTCCCAAGTTCCGGAAACTTTTTGGGCAAATGTGACCACATTGAGGATCAAGGGTAGTAAATTGAATTCCCATTTTTTGCACATCTTCTTATCAGAGGGCGGTTATGTATTTAAGTATTTTCAGGTTTTTAATTTGATTTCGATCGACGAAAATTCCGATCGACAAAAATTTCAAAACATTTTTACATATTGGAACAAGGTTTTCAGACGTAAATATTTCCGATATTATTTGAAAAATATGTAAATAGTTTGCAAATTAAAAAAATATATGCATTTCGTTAATATTTAATTGATAGATACGAAATTTTTTTCCTCAAAGGAATTGGCCCACTATTAAAATCCAGAGTATCAAATTCAAAAATGAAAACTTTTCGAAAATTCGTATTTTAGTTGTTTTTTTTTTCTTTCGACACACATTTCGCACATATTTTGGCGTTTTTCGTAAGTATTTTAACGATTTTTGGTAAATACATATCTACCCTCTGGCTATAAAGAATACTAATTGCCATTTGTTGCAAACTTATTGTGAATGCAAATTTCTATGTATGCAGGAAATCTGTGCAAATTGGGAACTGCGACGCTGGATCGGTTAGCGAAAGAAGAAAATTGTACGAAAATGTGTTCCATCGAGTGTCAAGATTTTTACGATGGCGAGAATTATAAATTACTGAAGGAAGTTATTGCACGAAATTCTGGAACGTTGAGAAATTTCGAGGTAATTAAATAATTAAATGCCAATTAAAGGATCGTTATTTACTATTTATTTACAGATCAAAAATAATTCCTGGATGGATAAGCGTGCCTTTGGAAAATTTGATTTTTACAAAATTCTGAACCAGTCCTTCTCCCTCGAGTCCATTGCCCTCACGAACGTTCCAAAGTTTCACACAATTCCCGAGACGGTCAGAATTTTGAAGATAAATTCCCCAATTTCTGTCCGCGATGCGAAACAGGTTTGGAAATTTTGCGAGAACTTGAGTGTCCTCCAGTGAGTAGAAATATTTCTAAATGTACCAATTTTTAAAATGTTAACGCCAAAATTAGCATATTTTTAATCATTTCTCCGCTCTGGGAACTTATTTTAAAATTCTGGACGACAAATTTGTAGTCGGTGAGTTGATTAATGGAATGGCGTTGAGTTTTTTGGACCAGTTTCGACGAGGTCCAATTTTTCTGAAGGCTTCTTAAACTTGAGATCTCCTCCTTCAAAAAGTGTCAATCTGGAGTGTATATTTAAAAAAAATTAGGAACGACTACAGCTCTACAAATTTGTCGGATAGAACTTTAAAATAAATTCCCAGAGCGGAGAAAGGGTTAAAAATCTGCCGATTTTGACGACGAGTCCTAAGCTAAATAACTTTTGCTTATTAATTTTCAGTCTGGAAATTGATGAGCGCATGGATTGCTCCCGATTCGAAAATGTCATCGTCTTCACAGAGTTTGGGAGTCGACGTATGTTCAAAAAGCGTACAACTGAGGACGACATTGCATCCTTTTCCGGCACACCTTTTCCACACTGTTTGTTCCGTAAAATGATTGACCGGTTAAGCATGGAGGAAGTCGTGCTTGGGTTCAAGGTCCACTACTACACGGGAGACAGGTGGGTCGATCGATAATAACAATAAACTGGTGTAACAGATATAGTAAGGACTGAATTGAGATGCGCCGTTCACTAGAAAAATTTGACATCTTTGACATTTTATGACCTTTGACCTCGTTTACACGGTCTAGATGTCCTTCGAAATTTTGGCGATTTCTGAAATCCCGCCGCCACACTAGGTCTAACACTATCAAATAAAAAAATTCGACGCTTTTGACATCATTACCGTGGCGTCGTGACCTTTTGACCTACAAGGCATTTTAACGAAATCACTCGTACTTTTAAAATTAGATGTAGAATCTGAAAACAGGACTCAAAAAAAATTGATTGGTTCGAGAGCTATAACTCGGACGGACAACAAACCAATCGATCGCAAGAATTCCTCACTTGTTTCAGTGGCCACGGAAGTTGTGGGGATATTTGGGGACGTTAACATTCCCGGATAGGGATGGGAGGGGTTTGTATAACATGGGGACATTATCCCCCGGTCCCCACCCTTCCGCGGCCACTGCTTCGTTCCGCTCGTTAATAATGCTCCCAAAAAATTAGGGAATTTTAATCTTAACAAATCCTCTCTGGGGTCATACCCTAATTTTTTAAAAACCATGTTTTTTTTTGCACAGGCCGAGCTTCACCAACTTACCGGCCGTATACTACACGCCCCTTAAGGAACGCCTATTCGCCTGGAAGACGGAACTGGAGAACGAGGGACATGCGGACATTGAGGACATTTCCCTGACCGAGGAGACCATCACGGCCCCACCATATTCAGGGGGCAAATTTCCGAACATTTTTCCGTGGGAGGGTCGAAATGGGGACAGGATCCTGTTGAAACTGGGGGTGAAATTTGTCCCAAAAGAAGAAGATGCTTGAAGATAACGTCTTATCGAGACTCGAACAATTTTTAAACTGAAGAAATGATACAATTAATGTTAAAAAGATGCTTGAAGATAACCTCTAATCCAGTCTCGAACCATTTTTAAATTGAAGTGTTCCAATATTTTAAACTAATTTGGTAGCCATGGCAACCATTTTTACGAAAAATAAATAAATAAATAATCACTTGAAAAAAAAATCAATCCGTCCCTGCCCTTCGGAAGGTTGACACACACGTAAAATTCGCTCCTGCAAATTTATCGTAAATTTTTTCCCTCTATTTTTGCCCCTACTTCAAAATTTTACCAGTTTTTGTGGAAAGGTTCGAAACTTCTAAAATTTAAAGTGTATTGTTCAAAAATTGTTCGAAAAAAATGGGATCAGTTTCGAACTTGAAGTGTTTTTCGGGTGAGGATTTTCTCTTTGATGGACTTCCAACCGAGGTGAGTGACCTCTGCGTGAGAGAGAAAAAAAGCCTGGTTTTATTAGTTTGCTTTTTATTTGGTATGTTTTTAATTTCTAAAAAAACTGAAAATATTACAGATTCAGCTTGAAATTACGAAATCCTTGGATAACGAGTCCCTCAAGCAGATGCGGTTAGTGAGTCGGCGTTGGAACGAAGGCGTAAGTGTAGATTCGTATTTTCAAGCGTGGGTGAAATCCTGCTTGAAAATGTAGTATTTTGAGCTCCGTTCTTCCCAGGGTTTAGATTTCCGGGGCTGTTACACCCACAAAACGACGAAAATCTACGTGGGGAAGGCAATAGTCACACGAGAATGCAGGTTTTGTGAAGAAATTTACTTTTTATAGAGGTCAGAGTGCATTGTTTTCACGATTTTTCAAAAATAAAGTATTTTGACAGAGGTAAAAAGTTGATTCCTTCGAAAAACCTGTATTTTCGTACGACTTTTGCCTTCTCCACGTAGATTTTCGTCTTTTTGTGGGTGTTACAGCCCCGAAAATCCAAACCCTGGGAAGAACCGAGCTCAAAATACGGTATTTTCACCCAGTATTTTCCCCAATGTGTGGTATTTATCCAAATTTTCAAATTCACTCACACCTAAATTGTCCTCCCCTCAAACAGGTGAAGAACATTGTCTCCTTCGACTACAAACTGGCCCCCCTGACGGATCAAACTGCTCGGAACGTGCTGCCCTTTTCCCATCACATCCGTACCATCCAGGTCAACCAGTTGCTAAATCGTGACCAAGTTCTTCGCCAAATCAAACCCTTCGGTGTCATCTCTTCTGCAGAGAAGATCATCCTCGGCGAACAAATTGATGCCTTCGTGGTGCGAAAAGTTCTAAAAAATGCGACCGATGTGGAAAAATTCGCCCTTGATCCGGTCGATCCTCGCGTAGGAGAAGTTTTCCTCGGATTTCGGGGTGTATTCAGTAACGTGACAGAGTTTGAGGTGAGTTTTCAATGGAAAACATTTTGTTTTTATATTTCTGATGCGATATTTCTGTGTTTTCGACCAATTGAATTTTCGTTCCTGTTTTTTTTTCTCAAAAACAAGGTCCTCCAAATTTTGCCAATTTTTTAAACCATTTTTTGATACAACTGTTTTATTTGAGACCTTTTTATTTCTGATCCTGGTTTTTCTCAGAAATATAGTCCTCCAAATTTTTCTCGGTGTTCCCCCAAATCTGGAACCTTTTTTTGAAATCTCTGAGACCTTTTTTGAACATTTTTCGTGGAAAATTTCCCAGAAATGCTCATAAATCTCACCCAAATTTCACATTATTCCTAAAATATCGTCATCTCTTTAAATTTTTCAGCTCAAACTCAACCTGACCACCTCCCAACTGAAAGAAGAAAAACTCTTCCTCCGGAAATTGTCCTCCACTCGAAAATTCCCCAACCTCTTAAGCTACAACGTTGACTGGAATTTGGTCACCCTTCGGACCGTGGAACAGTACGATGAAGCCCTCCTCCTCCACTCGATCTACATCTCGCTCCACAACTTTCTCCACACGCATCGCACCACGGTGCAGAAAATTCGCTGGGATTTTGGCAAGTTGGACATCCCCGGATTGTACGATTATGCCAAGAACATGACCACCTACGTCGCAATGAAGGAGAAAATGAGCCAGGTCGCGTTGAAGGAGGTGACCGTCAAGTTGGGCTATATGGAAGGGGACGAACACTGGGATTTGAGTGAGTGGGTTAAGATATTTGGTTAAAATGAAGTATTTTGAGCAAAAATTTGTCTCAAATTTCCACTAAACTTCTGTGCACTCAATTAATTACTAATTAATTCAAGTAATTAAGGGATGCTTAAGTGAGGTGGTCAAAATACAGTATTTTGAGCCACACAAATCTGTATTTTCGTACGACTGTTACCTTCTCCACGTAGATTGTCGTCTTTTTGTGAGTGTAACAGCCCTGAAAATCCAAACCCTGGGAAGAACAAAGCCAAAAATAGTGTATTTTAACCACCTCTCTAAAGTACTTAATTACTCTTATTAATCAAATAGTAATTAATTAGATAATTGAAATACGCCGAGGTTTAGTGGAAACTTTTGCCTTCATTTATGCAGATTTTTCGAATGAGAATCTAAAGAATCTGAACACACTTATTTTCAAGATATTTTGAAATGCATGACAAAATCAGAACTGTACCAACTTAAATAACAATTTGACTAATTAATTAACCCATTTTTAATTAATTTTTCCCTAGACACAACCATGCTCCGGAACCAGTTCAGCTTAACTAAGGTCGCCTTCACGGGGAACGTCATTCCTGAACACGAAACCCCCAGTCGACTCCACTCTCTCGACGTGACGATGGACGTTTTAATGGAGAACAACAAGTCCACCTTGACCGATATCTACGTGCACAACAGGATTTTCAGCTTTTACTGTATCGAGCATTGCAACCACTTGAGGAAGTTGGCGTTGAAGGGGGGGAGCATCATTTCGACACGGCCGCTGAACCATATCTCCGTTCCGAAAGGGTTGGAAGAGCTTCATCTCGATTTCAAGTTCATTTTCCAACCAGACATTATCAATTTGCTGGATTGGTTTCCGAAATTGGGGGAGTTGAAGGTATACATTAAAGTTCAATAAGATATGAAATTCGGGATTTGCTCACACTTCTTGCAATGCAAAGCAAGCAATGGGAGAAATGCGAGGTGCAAGAAACCGGGAGAAAGTGCAAGAAATATGCGTCATCTAGCCACGCGCCGTATGAAGTATTTATAGCGGCGGGGCGTAGTTTCTCACGTCTTGCATTTCTTGCAGCTCAAAATATGTAGATGCAAGAAAGAAACCATTTTTTCTCACGGTTATTTCTTGCAGATGGTCACGTGCACTGGAAACACGTGGTCAGCATAGACAATTTTTACACAGGGTATAGTTTCTTGTGGTTTTGCTGCATTTCTTGACTGCAAAGCAAGCCATGCAAAAAATGTAAGGTGCAAGAAACTGCAAGAAATATTACACGCATGAAATATAGCAGCGGTGCGTAGTTTCTTGCCCCGTGCATTTTTTGCAGCTCGAAACCCCTGCAAAAACCCACTTTCTTCCCGTTATTTCTTCGAAGTGGTTACTTACCTACTTGCACCCGAAACACTGACCAAACTGTTCAAAAACTTTCTTTCTTCCAGGTTCTCACCATCCAATTGAACATGCGTTGGACTGCGTTCGAAAGTTTCCCAACTTTCCAAGATTTCCACCAACTCCTAAAACCACCTAAGCTATGCAATTTGATTTTTCACTTTGATGCCACCACGGCCTACAAGTTGCACGTGTTAAAGCAGAAGGTAGCCGATTTGGAGGCAAGATTTCGAAACTTTTCCGGACTACGGATAACCTACGAGCATTCCTTGGACGACAACATCTTCACCCTTCGCACCACGCTGGATCGCAACTTGTTCAAGGGAATTGAGACCAATAATCCGGCCTGAATTGGAAATCAAGCATGTTCAACCGTTAACGTATCGTCAAAATCGTTCTACATTTTTATTCATTTCTCTCCTCTGGGAATTTATTTTAAAATTCTGGGCGACAAATTTGTAGAGAAGGGAGTTACCATTTTTTTAAAATATACACTCCAAATTTTGACACTTTTTGAAGGAGGAGATCTCAAGTTTAAGAAGCCTTCAGAAAAATTGGAACTGGTCGAAACTGGCTCAAAAAACTCAGCGTCATTCCATCAATCTACTCACTGACTACAAATTTGTCGTCCAGAATTTTAAAATAAGTTCCCAGAGGAGAGAATTGATTAAAAATGTGGTGATTTTGACTATTTTAGTGATGATTCATCTAGTCCTACGAACATTTTTAAACTTAAAAAAATTCTGAATTATGTTATTACGTACACCGTCCTACATTCCTTAATCTATTTACAAGTTTTATGCCTTATCTAAATGTACCTTATCGAAATCTGCATGTCACACTTTTATGTTGATACGTTTTTAATCATTTATTGTGTATTTGAAGAGGAGGAGGAAGGAACGAAGGTATTTTATTTATTCGTGAATGTGAAATAAATCAAGCAGTCCATTTTATATTCTCGTCTTCCTCTGTAAATTCTCTCACTTTACTTTCTCTCTCTCTCTCTCTCCCTGTATGCCATCCATCCCGAAATGAAATGAAATGAAGTGCAAGTGAGTGTGCAAGTGTTTAGTTTAAAGTAAAATGAAGGGGAGCTTCGGAATTTGAGCGGAATATAGTCTAGTCTAAAGTGGTTCTTGGTTCGTATTAAGGGAACAAAATCAATACAAAAGTGGATACAGTTTTAGCAGGAGAATGCAGTGGCCGCGGACGCGGAAGGTGTGAGGACATATTGAGTTATTATTATTCCTGGAAAACGGGAGGAAGAAAATTCCCACGGCCTGTAAAAAACGGACCCTACAATTTTCGAAAGTTCTCGAAACTTTCAAAATTTCTCATAAATGTTAGAAAATTCCTAAAAATGCTCCAAAATTCCTGGAAGCTTTCAAAATTTCCGACCACGTTCAAAAGCTTGTCCCAGCATACGCACGCAAAGTACCACAGATCTTACCCTTCGGATAACCCTGGGGATATTGTCCCGGTTCTGGGTGGATTTGCATAAAAGTGTTTTGCATTAGGGTCATATGGTATAAATAATCTTTATTAATTATACACCTTTTCCCATGAAGGAACTTTTTACATGATTTAATATCGCATAATTTTACATTGTTCGAAATCTGATAATTGCGATAACTGATTTCTCGGTAATAAACTTGGTATTAAAATTATGCTGGACCATAAAAGTTTGCTTCTGACACGGTAAAGCTTTAGTACCGAATGAAAACTAAGATTTTGCAACTATCTACAAATGATGCGAAATTGTTGTTTTGCATAATTTGAAATTAGACATCCTTATTGATGCTATTCACAGTAAATTATCAACCGTGGGGACATTATCACCCCCCTGTCCCCCCACTTCCGCAGCCACTGCCTGCCTTCCTTCCTTACCAGAGAAAGTCTTCTTGTCTCGTGTGTGTACATGTATGTGTGGTGGTGGCGGTGGTGGTGGTGGTAACTAAAGGTAAGTATAAAGTAAAGTGAAAGTAAAGTAATCTGCCTAAGAGCACTTTTCACTCATTCCTCGCTCCCTCGTGGCTGGCAGGCAGGCTCAAATGGAGGATCAGATGAACCAAAAGTGAAATCCATTCCTTTTCCTAGGCACAAATTCCTAGGCGGACGAAACAAGACGAGAGACGAAACCACACCACACGGCAAGGCAAGGTAAGGTATGGCTGAAAGTGGTAGTGGTAGTGGTAACCTGTGACCTCTGCAGAAACTTGGGTATCACGATAATGGTAATGATAGTGTGATCTACAATGCGGGAAAATATCTCCCACCGCGTTTTGATCAGCAGTATTTAAAATGATAATGATTTTAGAACTGCATTCCTCGTACTCCATTTTATTTTCAAAAAAATCTATAAAAAATTAGACCGATCTGCGATTTTCCAAAATTTCCCACCGCGTTTTGATCAGCAGTATTTAAAATTATTACGAGAATTGGATTCCTACACGATTTAAAAATATCAAAATTTTATCGATCTGCTGTTTCCTGTTTTTCGTACAGATTTTAAGATTTTAATCAGCAGTATTTTTAGAATTCACTCTAAAACTGCATTCCTACACCCATTTTCCAAAAATCTAAAAATTACTAGATCGATTTGCTCTTTTTCATACAGATTTTATGCCCAGGATTTTAAATGATTAGTAACCACACGGTAAAAGAAAGTAACATGTCTGTCGAGCTAAAAGCACGGCACGGATGAAAGTGGTGGTGGAACTAACCTGTCACCTCTGCAGAAACTTGGCTGGCATCATGATAATGGTACACTGTAAATAATTTGGTAATAAACATTACCGAAAAGCACAGGTATATGACTCTACCAAAGTGGTAATGATAAGTTGTACCATGTGGTAATGGCTTGGTAATAAAGTTTTACCATCATGGTAAAGAATTTTTACAACCTGGTAAAATATGATTACCAAATTTATTACCGACAAATCATTACCTGCGTGACTTTACCGGATTATTAAGAGTGTAATGATAGTGTGATTCATACGGGAAAATTTCTCCCACTCCGTTTTGATCAGAGGTATTGAAAAATTATGATGAGAATTAGATTCCTACGCGAATTTGTTTCCTGGAAATATAAAAATTTACATAGGTATATCGATCTGCTGTTTTTTTCGTTCATATTTGAAAATTTTAAATGCATTCATAATCAATAGTAGGTATCTTAGAATTCATTCTAGAATTGCATTCCTACTCCATTTTCTCTAAAAAACGCACCACTTACACGGTACGGGTGAAAGTGGTGGTGGTAGTGGTAACCCGTGACCTCTGAAGAAACTTGGGTATCACGATAATGGTAATGGTGGTGGTCGTCGTGAAACTGTAAAATTTCTCCCACCGCGTTTTGATCAGCAGTATTTAAAAATGATCTTTACAATTGCATTCCTTTTTATATGCAATTTTATTTTCTGGAAATATAAATATTTACATATATCGATCTACTGCTTTTTTAGTTTTTCGTATGTACATATTTGAGGATTTTATGTAAATGCATTCATAATCAGTACTATTTTAGAATTCAATCTAGAACTTTGCATTCCTACTGCATTGTCTAAAAATAACCACCCAGATGCATATACACATACTTACACACGGCACGACTGAAGGTCGTAGCGGTAGCGGTAACCTTTGACCTTTTCAGAAATTTGGGAGCAAAATATCCCACCGCTTTCATCAGAGGGATTCGATATTTTGTATGCAAAACGTAACATATCCAAATTTCGAAAGGATTCAAAATGGAATTTAGAATTGTATGTATGTATTGCAAAATGAGAGACAGGTGTCAGTCGCTCGGTTTCAAAAGTTACCCAATTAAAGCAAAATTATTTCAATATTTTGCAAAGTTTACGAAGGTTTTTTGAAATTTTATCCTAGATATAAAAACTGAACATTTTATAAAAATTTGTTACTTTGTTTGTTAGATTTGAATATCGGATAAGATTATTTATTTAAAAGATGAAATAATGAACGAAACGTTAGATGCCCTAGTAGTCACATCAAATTTTAGAAGTAAAAATTTACATAATTTGGGAAACATTATTTCAACATTTTTCGAAGACTTTTGAACCGAGAGGTTTTTTTTAATTTGAAATTTTATCCTATAAAAATTGAATATTTTGTAAAAAAAAAAAAAAAAAACTTGTCAGCAGAAAGATTTTTAGAACTGCATTAATTTTCTAAAAAAAATATCTGCTTTTTCTTATTTTTCGTACATTTTTTATGCCCAGCAGGATTTTAAATGCATTAATAATCAGTAGTATTTAATTGATTTTTGTATTTAAGAATTTCATTCCTCTCGTACTCCATTTTGTTTTCTAAAAATATACATATCGATCTCCTCTTGTTGTTCGTACATACACACAGATTTTATGCCCAAGCTTTTAAATGCATTAATAACGCACAAGGTACATAAAAGAACTCATGAAATATGTCTGGCGAGCTAAAAGAACAAAAAGTGCAGGATCTGTATCTTGTGCCCTATAAATCAGGCATTTTAATCTCAACTTATTTGTTCAGCAGTATTTAAACTAATTTTTAAAATTCACTCTAGAATTGCATTCATACTCCATTTTCTAAAAATATAAAGCCCTAAAAACTTCATTGTTTCTTGTTTTCTGTACAGATTTTATGTCCAGGAGGATGTTACATATAAATGCATGAATAATCGGCAATATTTAATTGATTTTTTTTAAAGAATTGCATTCCTCTTTTACTCCATTTTATTTTCTAAAAATATCGTATCGATCCCCTACTTCTTGTTTTTCGTACAGATTTTAAGCTCAGGATTTTAAATGCATTAATAACGCACAAGCAAGGTAAAAGAACTCATGAAATATGTCTGGCGAGCTAAAAAACGGATAGTGCAGGTCGAACTGTTGTACCCTGTAAACAATTCAAATTTTCAACTTATTTGGTTAGTAGCATTTAAAATGATTTTTGACTCTGGAACTGCATTCCTACTCTAAAAATATAAAAGTACAAGAATATTATATCGATCTCTTATTTCTTGATTATCGTACAATTTTAATCCAGAATTTTAAATGCATCAATGATCAATAATATTTAAATGATTTTTAAAGAATTGCATTCCTCTTGGACTCCATTTTGTTTTCTAAAAATATCATATCGATTTGCTCTTCTGTTTTTCGTACAGATTTCGTACAGCTCAAGCTTTTAAATGCATTAATAACGCACAAGCAAGGTAAAAGAACTCATGAAATATGTCTGGCGAGCTAAAAAACGGAAAGTGCAGGATCATTTCTGTTGTGTGCTGTGCCCTATAAAGCAGGCATATTCTTTGTTGCTCAAGGTATGCTGGGAAGGAATTTCACTTTGAAAAATAAATACCAAATCGGGATTAACTTGTCAATAATTTATGGGAGGAGAAAGAGAAAGTAGTAAAACTTTGTCGGGCGGCCGGGCAAATATCTAATAAGGCAGCAGGAGAAAGCGTATTGTGTAGTAGTAAATACTTCTGAGGACAGTGGCCGCGGAAGGTGTGGGGACATCGGGGGGCATTAGCATTGAAGGATGGGGGGAGGGCGGGGTTTGTATGACATGGGTATCCGGGGGGTTCGATTTCTGTTTTTTTTTCGGAAAACGTTCCCAAAAATCCCCACGGCTTGTAAAAAAAAGGACTAGAAAAGGTCAAAATTTCCCTAAGAATGCTAAAAAAATTCCAAGAAACTTTAAAATTTCCAAAAAATGTTCAAAAATATCGTAATAGATAAAGATAAATACTCAAAAATTCCCAGGACGTGGGTACCAATTCTGTTTGTTTTTTTTTCGGAAAAACGGGTAAAAAATCCCACACGACCCGTAACGAAGACGGACTAAAAAAAGTCAAAATTAATTATACTTGGAAAAATTTTCAAAATTTCCCAAAAATGCTCGAGATGTTACTTGAAAGTTCCCACAAACTTTAAAAATATCTATTTTCGCA